AAATACACGAAACATAAATATCTATATTTATAAAAAAAAAAAAAAACAAAAAAAACACACACACACACACACAATTCAAATGTTTAAAAAAGGTAAATAAAAATAAATATTTCTTTTTAAGAAAAAATATATTCATCCTAGTGAGCCCAAACAACAATATGAATAGCCTATATATTGTCATTGAATTTTGTTTCTGTATTTCTCCACCTTAAAAATGCTTAGATGTTATAAAGAATATTACAGACTATATACTATAACTTAAAGCCAATTTTAAATATGTCAACAGAGTTCGCAGATCCACATATAATATAGGTATTTTATTGTACTATAGAATTCCCTAGCAACATTTACTTATACAGAACGTAAGTCATCAATTTTTCCACTTGAGCCAATTGATGCAGGGTATCAAGAGACGACAACGAAGCATAGCCAGAACACACAACGAACAACGACAGCATTGTCGATGCGAAGGAGTCAACGGCAACAGGATGGAACCGAAAAGCAACAGCATGGAATTGATTATTGAGCGAGTGTCGGGAGTTGATGCTGCCGCACAGCTATCTCCATCTCTCTCGCTATCTCTGTCTCTGTCTCTCTCTGTGTCTCACTCACTTTGGCATGTGGATTGTGGGTTAAATGGAACACTCCACACGGGACTTGGCCGTCCTGTACATATGCCTCTGCACGTTGGCGAAAGTTTTCATTTTTTTTTTTTTTTTTTCGAGGCCGGCCTGGCGCAAAAGTTATGGCACATTGGTATGCAGTTGATATTCAAGGCCTTTGCCTTTGCCGCCTTGTTGCAGCTGCAATGCATTTCGCAATTTTGCATTGCCGTTGACAGCAGCCCAGTGCAAAATTGCAACTGCAAGTCGCATGCATAAACAGGCAACGCTTGGCCAAATGGATTTCAGGCCCAGGCACCGATTCGAATATACATTTTAAATGCAGGTTTTGGCCCAAAAATCGAGCTCTGAGCGAATATTTATTTTCGGCTCGGCTTTTCTTTCCATTCTGTTGCATAGTTTTTTGGGGCGTCACGGGCATTCAATGGGGATTAGCAGCAGAGGCAATTGGCATACAAAAATCAACAGCACAACAACTATTTGCCATCGTCAGTGTCTGTGCCTGTGTATCAGAAAATAAATGTGCAGCTATGCACAAAATTGTTGTGTGGGGATTACACAAGTTGAGGTTATGTATCCAAATTGTTACGCCAGTAAGGGAAGTCTGCGAAATCTAGAACACCATGAATTGGAAACAAAAATTGCATACAAATTTACATATTTACTATATTTTCAATAGGTATGCTCCGAAGTATCATTCGTGTAATAAGTATATTCCAGAGGGGTACTCCTTGCATTTAATGTATAAAAATAATGCAAATTATTATTTCTGTTTTTTTTTTTTTTTTTACTTTTAATTTTTACTAGTCCCATTTATTAAAGGTGAAAGTATGCAGCATTTGCTGCAAGTAAATACTGAAGCAATTAATTTATATATAATTACATTTTTGTCTATTAGGAGGCTTCCGTACTTTAAAATGTAAAT